CGGACGGACGGACGACAGACAACGGGTGATCAGAAAAGCTCACTTGAGCTTTCAGCTCAGGTGAGCTAAAAAAATCAAAATTTAAAAAAAGGGGACCAGGGGCCTTCTGGATCACCTGAGTATCATGTAACAACTTTCTATCAATTGAATTTAATTTGTGTTTTAAACCAGAGGCCATGAAATTCACAATTTTGAAAGAGGCACCATTGCTTATCAAACTATACACTTAGCATGCTTACTTTGGTTAATTAAAACACAGAGGTAGATCAGAGTAACAAAGAGAAAATGCATTTCCACTTTATAACTAGTTATGCACCCCAACCTATAGGAACCACTAAACCTGAGACCACATATTTCAAAATTTTGGAAATTTTATCATAAATTTTATTTCATCATAAATGGTTGATTAATACCAAAAAGCAGTTTTCAAAGCATTCATTTATTTTCAGACTATGTAACCTCACCCCCCCCCCCCAGTACCCCTGACCCTGGGGCCATGAAATTAACCATTTTGGAAGAGGTGCCTTTCTTCATCATAAATATGTACTAAGATCATTGGCATAATACCCATTCTTGCTCATCATGTCTATGTACTTAGTTTGTTTAATACCCAGGAGCAGAGAAAAAGATGTTCAAAGAATTTATGTACATTAACTATATAATCAATAGAAACCCCCTCCCCTAACATCAGAACCCCTGACCCTGGGGCCATGAAATTCACAATTGTGGAAGAGGCACCCATATTCAACATAACTATGTACTTGGCTAGTTTATTTAATACCCAGGAGCAGAGAAGAAGATTTTCAAAGAAATAATGCATTAATTTTCACTACATAATCTATTGCACCCAGCCCTTAGCACTAGAACCCCTGACCCTGGGGCCATGAAATTCAAAATTTTGTTAGAGGACTCAATGCTGATTACAATCATACCAACAGTTTGACTGCTTGATGTCAAGTAGTAAAGAAGAAAATTTGTAAAGATTGCATTAATTTTAGTGGTTTTGGCTCCATCCATTCCCCAAGGCCCAGGAGGGGAGGGGGGGGGGGGGGTATGGACCATGAAATTCACTATTTTTGTTCCCTTCAGCCAAAGATGCCTTTGCCAAAAATGGTTGAAATTGATTCAGCAGTTTCAGAAAAGAAGCTGAAAATGTTCAAATGTTAACAGGACAGACGACGATGGACAAAAATGGATAGCAATAGGTCAACTGAGTGACTCAGGTGACCTAAAAATGGGCACTTGCATGGTGTGTAAGGTATTTCATATATTCAGAGATGTTTTTGTCACTTGCCTAGTGCTACAATTAAGTACACAAAGAGAAATCTTTAGTGCCTGTATATAATATGTACTCGAGGTGATGCCTCTTGGCTACACTAGCAGCCATTTACTAACACTTGGTACTAACACTTGCTTCTTGGGTATAAAAAACACTTGGTAATACTTGTTATCAACACTCAGCATAATCCCTGTTGAGATTCTGATAGGCTAGATATTTGGACTGATGCCGTCACATAATCCCTGGACAGTCACTCATAATTCATGTCTGAAGATTATTAAGTCCCAACTTCGGTCGACTATAGCAACAATTATTCATCTAGACCACAATGCCGTTTGCTTCAATTAAGTCATTTAGTTGTTTATTTGACTCTCTGTCACTATTATTTCTACATAGCTTACCGTTTAGGCATGTAAATCCAACATGAAAATATTCACTGAAATCTCTGTTCGAAATATGGTTCCTGTGACAAAATTGTTTACCTCCTCGAATAAAAGAGTTCCTATAGTCTGTTTTTACCCTTGCAAACGACAAAATAGATTGTGGGATTGAATAAGGATAATTTTTAACCCAATCTGGTCTATTCAAATCTTTTATTTTAAATCAATATTCATGTGCTTTCTAACAAAACCTTCGTTTTTTGACCGTGTACTGTAGGACCGTGCCTGTGCACATTCACGCATAATAAAATCTTTATTTTTGTCTATCTTTTACCAAAAAAGTTATGATGCACTTAGATATGATAAATAAACATTCACTGAAAATTTCAGCTTAGTCCATCCATTATTTTTCGAGAAAAATGCTTTATCCACCACTCGTACACTACCCCATGATGCTTCCATATATTAAAGTTTCAGCTTTTCTGGCCCAGTGATTCTTGAGAAGAAGATTTTAAAAGGTTTTTCCTATATATTCCAATGTAAAATTTGAATCCCTACTGTGGCCCTACCCTACCCCTGGGGGTCAGGACTTGAACAATTTAGAATTTATACTACCCCAGGATGCTTTTATATAAGTTTCGGCTTTTCTGACCCAGTGTTTTTCAATCTTGAGATTTTTAAAGAATTTTCCTACCTATTTCAATGTAAAGCTTTGATTCCCCATTGTGGCCTTCTCTACCCCAGGGGTCATAATTGAACAATTTTTAATCTACACTATCCTAGGATGCTTCCTTATAAGTTTCAGCATTTCTGGCCCCATGGTTCTTGAGAAGAAGATCTTTTTATGACCCCACCCTATTTTTGTCTTTTCTTGATTTAAGGGTCCTCCACACTGTGTGACTTGTGACATATGAAGAGAAAAAAAACTTTTACTTCCAGTTTTTTCTAGTTTGCGCACTGACGATTTGCCTGGCACCGCTTGTAAGAGAGTTTTACAAACGCTGTAGAGATAAAGGTTTTGCGAAGGGAAAAGCATGCAGTACACTGAGAGCGACACCCTAATCATAAACAATAAACACATGGCATGATCACAGAGTGACCGATAAAGAAAAAAAGATGTGCAGTTTTCTTTTTTAATAAAAGAAAAACAGATCTGGGATTATATTACATAATACAGCCTACTCCGGATATATTGAAATTCAGGGGACCATGAAAATTATTTCAATATATCTGTAATTCAATATAAACGAAATCGTGTAGCCGCCATTTTTTTTTAATTAAAAGTTCAATCCCGATTTTAAATTAAAGAACAAACCCGAACAAATTAATTTTTTCATCGTTTACCTATAACAGTGTACAGATTACATGATATATTAGTATTTGTACGTATAAATAATTTTTTTCTTTCTTTTTTTATCAATCTTTAACTTCATTATTATTCCCCGATCGCATTTATTTACATTTTGGAGAAAAATCACCGATGTCAAACTGTTGAGTACTGCTGAACGCTGCATATATTTTATCGTAAGTGTATTCCCGACGGGTTGATCTCTTAGCTTCGAATTTAGGCTTATCTCTAGCCATTAACAATACGTATTTAATTTGAACGTTAAGTTGCTTCTAGATCTGTGGGGGTTACTATGTTGCCTTTAGCCTAAATACTTCCATATTAAATATATATACACGGAAACAAAGAATTTAGCAGTGAATAATTTTATTTCGTAAGAGCATGCAGTATAAAAACACATCAGGTGAAAACTTATTCACACCTTTTTGAATCAAGTGGTCAGTCAGGCATAATTTCTGTCACCAACCGTAACGACAGCCGCCAGGTGTACTTCAATATAACCGTTATAAAAACAACTCATTATCACCTGTGGGGACCGATCAGTGGCTTCAATATAAGCGATATTTCAATATAGCCAATTTCAATTTAACCGTTATTTTAATGCAAAGAATATGATAGTAAAAAACTGGGGATTTATTTTTATTTCAAAATAAGTGGAATTTCAAAATAAGCGAGTTCAATATAAGTGGAGTAAGCTGTAATTCTTAAACAATGGGTGCTGGTATGATAAGAAATTTTTAGGTTATTTGTACTTTCAGGCTAATCAACCCAATCTGTATTGAAAGTCGATGTTTTTGCACACTAATCTCATTGTGTGTTTATAAATATTGATAAAATAATGTGCGTTTCTAGTTTTCCTCTTTTATATCTATCCAGTTCAGTAGCAAATAATGAGTAACTGTAGTCATGGTGACGTATGCGGAGACTTGCCAAAGTTTTTGAGTCCCGTACAACAGGAAAGATAACTCCAAAAAGGAACTTTGATACCAAAGATTTTGAAAATATTTTTTCTACATCAGTGCATTCAATTCTAATTAAAATTAAATTTTACAAAATTTGTTGTGCTACATATGAAAACAGACTGGGAAAAATATCTTGAAACTTGTGAAATTATTATACCCCCCGCTTGAAAAGCGGGAGGGTATATAGTAATCGGTATTTCCGTCCGTCCGTCCGTCTGTTACGCTTTGGGGTACCCATCTTTTATCCGCAACTCCTCTCATACCACTGAATGAAATTTGATGAAACTTTCACAGAATCTTTATTACATATTGCCATTGTGCACCTCCTATTTTACTTTTTGATCCGACACATATTTTGGGTTTCCCGGCCACAGGAAAACATGGACTTTTTCACCAGTTAAAACCATATGGGAGGCGGGGGGTATCATTTAGCGAGCTTATCGCTCACAGTACCTCTAGTTACTTTTAAAAATCAGTATAAATTATCATTCTAATTCCTGGCCAGTTTTTAAAGGTAATTGATGTTTCTTATTAGTAATGCTCAGTAAATTATGAGAACATAAGCTGGGTGTGTGTGGAGGACCCTTAATATCTCTCCGTGGCAGGGTTGGCCCTTAAATTTATTAAAAAAATTAATATTCCCTTCTCCCAAGGATGCTTTGTACCAACTTTGGTTAAAATTGGTCTAGTGGTTCTTGAAAAAAAGTTGAAAATGTGACAAGATTGCAGATGGACGGATGGACAGACAGACAACAGGTGATCAAAAGAACTCACTCGAGTTAACAAGTTGAGTCCAATACGCCTTCCATTAGCTTAATTTGTGGGAATGCAATAACCATCTGATTCCTAACCCATAACTTTAATCAATCTAAACTTCAGGCATTTAAATCACATGACCTGTTAACAGGTTAACATCTAGAATGAAGACCAGGAAGTGAATTGTAATATACAGGATTATCAGGGAGGCCATGTTGGATTTAGAGGTGAGAAAAAGTAATATTTAGTAGATTTTAACAAGTTACAAGATGAGATAATATGTAGCATATAACATAATGAAAGACATGTTACTCAGTTGTCATTGATGATCTCAAGTGTAGTAAAGTATATAGCTTGAAATGCATTTAGTGCCGGCTTGTTCACACTGAGAGTTAATTTAATTCACAGTAAACTGATGCGAAGTTAACAAATGCAAATTAAAATAATGCAGATTAAATTGCCTTCACACGACAGCTAAGGTGAAGTAAATTAATGCAATTTAAAATTTCAATTCTACTAAAAGGCTATTCAGAAAGGCTATTATGATGTCATTTGTAAATCATGTCATGTATGCAGAGCAATCCATTTGATATAATAATGATAGTGACTACAGGTATACATTTAGTGATTTACATACTTTTCCTTGATTTTTGAACCAAATATAGCACAGATACCAATATCTAACCACCAACATAATTTTGTACTGTGACTCAATTCTCCCCTTACGCATGCGTCAAAATTTAATTCAAATTAGCTTTGCTTACCTTTCACACGGAGCTAATTCGAAGTAATTTAATACGCAGTAAATTAATTCCAATTAAACTTATTCACATTAAATTCTCCGTGTAATTTAAGGTCAGATATGACACATTCCTCAAAAATATATAATTTTCCCCAAGAATTTGTCATCGAAATATGTGTAATCTTCTGAATAGCTTATATAACAATTTTTGGTGTACTTATATTCAAAATCATTTTGAAAGCGATGTAGAAGTCAGAAGAGAAGGACAAATATGAATATTTTTTTATATAATACGTAGAGATACAAAAAATATATTTGAGGAACGTGTCGTCTGACCTTAATTTGCAGAAACCTTCATGTAATTTGAATTACACTTTTTGTGTAAATAGGGCATGAGATTCTACTGTACATTACCTTGATGATATAAATCAATACTACAAAATGTAAAAGAACAGGGTACAGTTTCAATACAAATTAAGCCCTGTATTTTTCTAAATTATGAAAGTGATATAAGAAATCAAAATCCATTCTTTCTGAATCATAAGAATTCCCTGCAGTAAGAATACACAAATTTTTTTTCTCATATGACCTCCTAAATGCTAATTGTGACGTCATCAACTTGCGCATTTCCCGTATTTTCTTAAAAATTTGCAGAGGACATCTGTTTACAGTGGAATTTTCTTTCTGAAAATATACTCTGCCACCGTTGCCCAAAAAGATTTTGAGATAGCAGTTTACATAATATATCCAAAAATTAAAGTGGGCGATGGTGGCAGACACTATTTTCTAAAGAACAATTAGCACAGAAATGAGTCATTTTGAGTTTTTTCTGCATTAAACTTAGAAATGTGCCAAATTAATGATGGCATATTTCCAGAAAGGTCCTCCTTAATGCCACATTCTTTAACGATTTATCATATTCACCTATTCAACTATTGTTAAAGCCAATTTCATAACTTTAAGAACATTAAATTTTTAGGACACACTAAAGCTATATACTCGCCTATGAGTCAGTATTTTGGGAGTTAAAATTGAAGTCCAAAAAGTCTATGTCCGACTTATAGGCGAGTCATAAAAGAACTGGTATTTTTCTGGATGGCGAATCGTAGTATTCTATAAACATTTTCAACAGCTACCTTTGAACAAAGTATCGGTGTGCCGGTATTATAAGATTATACATAAATTACATGTATTTTATATACATGTATCTAATAAAAAAATTTAATCTTGGGAAGGCATTTATTTTTTATGATTAAATTTACATATCGACTTCATTTCTAAAAAAAAATATTAATCAAAATCAGGATAAAACATCAGAGCATTTATTATAAATTGTCACCTGAATCTGGCAAAAAGTTGTAACGACTTATAAGCAGGTCAATAGCAAATCCCTGCCAAATAACCTAAAAAAAATACAACCAACTTATAGGCAGACTGACTTATAGGCAAGTATATATACGGTACCTTCTTCTTTAACGTCATTTTCTTCCTAATAAAATCTTTCCAACAAGATGTACAGATTATTTGTTAAACTGTAAACACTTTTTACATATTTCCCTACTGTTATTTCCAAAATGTGTAACGGTCTTAGAATTTCAAACACAAAACTTAACGAGAGGCTCTTGGGCAACATCACTCACCTGAGCATTGTGGCTAGGAAAAAGTAGAAATTGGTTTATTATTGAAAAGTTTACATCCAAAAGAAGTCCCATGACCAATCATGGCTTTACTATTCTTGAGATGATTTTTAAGAATTTTCCTATTTATGTCTATGTAAAACTTTGATCGGCCATTGTGGCCCCGCCCTACCCCCTGGGGTCATGATTTGAACAAATTTGAATCTACACAACCTGAGAATGCTTCCATATAAATATAAGCAATTATGGCTTTGCAATTCTTGTTGAGAAGATTTTAAAAAAAATTTCATATATATTTTTCTATGTAAAACTTTGATAGGCCATTTTGGCCCCACCCTACCCCTGAGGGTCATGATTTGAACAAACTTGAATCTACACTATGTGAGGATGCTTCCATATAAATATGATCAATTATGGCTTTGCTATTCTAGAGAAGAAGATTTTTTTAAAAATGTTCCTATATATTTCTATGTAAAACTTTGATCGGCCTTTTTGGCCCCACCCTACCCACGGGGGTCATGATTTGAACAAACCTGAATCTACACTACCTGAGGATGCTTTCATGTAAATATAAGCAATCATGGATTTATAATCCTTGAGAAGAAGATTTTAAATAATTTTCCTATATATTTCTATGTAAAATTTTGGTCGGCCATTGTGGCCCCGCCCTACCACCGGGGGTCATGATTTGAACAAACTTAAATCTACACTACCTGAAGATGTTTTCCCATAAGTTTCATCTTTCCTGGCACAGTGGTTCTTGAGAAAAAGATTTTTAAAACATGCCACCAAATTTTCACTAATTCCCAATTATCTCCCCTTGAATAAGGGCGTGGCCCTTCATTTGAACAAATTTGAATCCCCTTCATCTAAGGATACTTTGTGGCAAGTTTGGTTGATATTCAACTGCTAGAAGGATATGTTGTTTCTTGAAGATTAATATTGAGAAATACACAGTTTTGTTCACCTCATATTTCTCTCTTTGTATATGCATGTATTAATTGTGTTAATTTGTGTTATGTTATTAATGTTCATGACTGTATGCCGACATAGTAATTATCAATAAAGTGAATTGAATTGAAATTGGCCCAGCGGTTCATGAGAAGAAGTCGAAAATGTGAAAAGTTACAGACAGACAAGATGGACAGACGGACGCCGGACAAAATGTGATCAGAAAAGCTCACTTGAGTCTTCGGCTCAGGTGAGCTAAAAACTTCTCTTGTTTTTGTTCAGAATCGCTTTTATAAGTTCCTGTAATCATGTGATCTAAGTCTCCATTTACTTTTAATTACAGGGTCATGTAATGAACTGAACCTAAACCCCAGTGATGGACCCCCGTTATAGTGCCCAAGAACACCTCCTCTGTGACCTGTGTCAAAAAGCAGCATTACAGAGTCATTGTGAACTTTGTCAGATTAACCTGTGTAAGGCCTGTGTAGGGGAGCATCTCTCTGATTCATCTAAAAGACACAATGTTGTACCATACAGACACAGAACTTCTACTCCTAACTACCCAAAATGTCCAAATCACACCCAGAAACATTGCGAACTTTACTGTGAGAAATGTGACATTCCTGTCTGTTCTAACTGCCTCTCCTCTGGGAAACATAAAGGACATGATTTACTTGATGCTCTACAAAAACTAAGTTCTAAAACAAAAGATTTAGAAAATGACTTGGAAGAACTAGAGGAAAAAATCTATCCTAAATACAAAGAAATGACATTAGGCCACAGTTTTTATATCTTTCGGTTTACGGATCCGCCGACCCGATTTTTTCAGGGTCTAGAAAATAAATATAATGGATTTTATCACCACTTTCGATAATTTTCCGGAAAATTCAAGCCTGATCATCAGGGTTTTAATATTCATAATGCGTCTGAGTCCTAAACATGTATTAAAACGTCTCATTCTTTCAAACGTTTCAGTGACTATAAACAGAAATGTGTAAACATGGCGGCAAGCATGTCTTTTTTCAAAGTGCAGTTAAAATGTCTTGGAGATAGCACGATGTCTAGAAACTTTTCAGAGAAAATGAAAGAAGAGCAAACTATGGGAGATGCAATATTTCTTTTTCCCAAAGAGTCTTGTTTAAAACGTAATCTTCTATGATTTTTATGGAAATAAAAATAACCACCAAATATCAGCTGTTGACTGTTTCAATGACATAACTTCGCTATTTTTTCCCATTGGTAATATTTTTCTTCCAATTCAAAAATAAGGAATTAATATGTTGAAACTGGACAAAAATTGTAGAAATTGCACACAAAGACTGTGTACGTTTTTTTAAAAACGAATTTCATTTCCAAAACCCAGACACATGCTAAATTTTGTGTGATAAGTGTATGAAAAAATCAATATGACCAGATAAATAGATCGTTTTCATGGTTATAGGTCCCAGATACATGACTTGTTGACATTCTACTTTATAAGTAGCTACAATGTCATGCTAATAAAAAGAAATAGGCAACAGTGTAGGGTTTCACTAAAAGAAGTAAAGATAATCTGTGACTTCGTCTTTATAATTGATACAATATAGTTTACAAGATTATGAATCTAAATCAAAGTAAATTAGTTGGGTTTTTTTTTTTTAAAAAATGAATGTGTCATGTTCCCAATATTCTATGATCAACATCTTTAATATTTAAAAAGAGATTTTTTAATGATTTCAAATAAGATCTGAAGTAAACCCTCTGCAGTAAAATCATTTAAAATTTTAGTTCCTTTTATTTGATTCTCATTTACTACAAATAATTTTTCCAAATTTCAGGAAATGTTTCTAATTTTTACCAATTCAAAAGAAGTGTGGTGGTGTTTTTTGTTTTTTGAAATCAGCGATGTTCCGTTTGAAAGAAGTTTCAAATTATTTTTATTTTTATTTTGTCACCACCCAATGGACATTTTGGCTGAAAAAATCCGTAAACCTAAAGATAAAATAACTTTGGCCTTAGATTTGAATTCTGAAAAAGTCAACTTGGAAAAGCATTACAAGAAACTGACAACAGCTGTCACCAAACAAGGAGAAGACTGGCACAGAGATATTAACATCATTGTCAACAAACAGAAATCTGAAATTGATGAGATGAAATCTGAACACCTGGCTGCTCTAAATAAACAGGAAAAAGAAATCAAGCAGATTACTTCTGATGTAAAACAGAGCATAGTTGATCTGAAGAAAATACTGGACTCCAATGATGTCTCCCTAACATCTGCATATAAACCCAGGAATGCCCAATTCAGAAGATTACCTCCTAGAGCAAATACTTCATTACCAAGTTTTCATCCACATCAAATCAACCGAGCAATGCTCCATCAAATGTTTGGTTCTCTGTCAGCATTATCCATTACTACAGAAGAACAAGGCTACAAAATGGAGGAACCAAAAGCTATATCCACTCCTAAAGTGAAACCAATTCTTGATGAACCAGAGCTCATCACCACAATAGACACTATGTATGATAAACTATGCAGTGTTACCTGCCTCAATGATGGAGAAATCTGGACATTTGGGAATGATGAATTCTTAAAACTCTACAACCTCCATGGCAAAATACTGAAATCAATCCAAACTAAGTCTGGCAACAGACCATGGGACATAGCAGTGACAAGGAGTGGAGATCTAGTTTATATTGACCAAGATACAAGAACTGTAAACATAGTGAAGAATGAACAGATACAGGAAGTGATCAGACTACAGGGGTGGATACCTTACTATGTCTGTAGTACCTCATCTGATGACCTCCTGGTTACCATGACCAGTACTGATTATAAAAAATCAAAAGTTGTCCGTTACTCTGGCTCCACAAGGAAACAAACCATTCAGTTTGATAGTGAAGGCACACCTTTATATTTATCTTGTTCCTACATCACAGAGAACAGGAACCTGGATATCTGTGTAGCTGACTATGGAGCCAGTGCAGTAGTGGTGGTTAATCAGGCAGGAACACTCCGATTTAGATACACTGCTACTCCCTCTACTACTAAGGGATCATTCATTCCATATGGCATCACAACAGACAGCCAGAGTCAGATCCTGACAGCAGACTGTCACAACAACTGTATCCACATCCTAGATCAGAACGGACAGTTGCTCCGTTACATTAATAACTGTGATCTACAGGATCCAATGGGTTTATGTGTAGACACCAGAGACAACCTCTTTGTAACTGAGTTTAACAGTGGTAAAGTGAAGAAAATCAAATACATGTAAACAATGTAAACATACCGGTAAACTGTATATAACTGAGATAATCTCCCTGTGGCTGACTAAATTAAAATTGTGAAGAAATTCAACTACATGTACTTGTAAACTGAATTGAAATATGAAAAAGGTTTTATCTTGTTACACAGGAGTTAAGACTGAAATTCATTAATGTCTCAACCAACTGATAACAATATAAGTATAAGATGATGACGATGAAAATCATGAAATACACTACACTTTGATATGATATCAAACAAGGCCCATGGGCCACAACACAAACCTAAGTTACAGTGGCCCTGCTGTTCCTCATCAGATTTCCCCTTACCTATTATGGTCCTACATACCCTACCTCCGGGACCCATGATTTCAACAATTTAGAATCTACACTACACCAGGATGCTTCCACATAAATTTCAGCTTTTCTGGCCTAAAAGTTCTTGAGAAAATCATTTTTAAAAATTTCTCCAGTGAAATTCATTGTTAAACTGAGAATCTCTATTGTTGTAGCCCTGTCTTAACCTCAGGGTCATGATTTGAAATTTTTAAAATTTACACAAGGCCAGAATGTTTCCACTTAAGTTTCAGCTTTTCTGGCCCAGTGGTTCTTGAGAAGAAGATTTTTAAAGATTTTGCCTTGTATATATTTCAAAGTAAAAATTTGATTCTCTATGGTGGCCTGCCCTACGCCTGTGGGCCATGATTTGAAGAATAAAGAATCTACTCTACCCCAGAATGCTTCCACAAAAGTTTCAGCTTTTCTGGTCAAGTAGTTCTCAAGATGATTTTCAGATATTTTGCCCATTTCAATGTAAAACTTTGATTCCCCATTGTGGCTCCACTCTACCCCCATGGACCATGATCTTATCAATTTAGAATATAAAGTACCCATCGATGATTTCAATTAAGTTTCAGCTTTTCAGACCCAGTGGTTCTTGAGAAGAAGATTTTTTAATGACCCCACCCTATTTTTGTTCTTATAGCCTAGCTTGAAAAGTGGGAGGGTAGATAGTGATCGGGATGTCCGTTCGTCTGTATGTCCATCTGTCTGTGCTTCCATTTGTTACCCTTTGGGGTACCCATCTTTTTAGCTGCAGATCTGTAGCTCTCCGAAAAAATTATTGATAGACCAGAGAGCTACAGTGCCATCCATTGAAAAAACTGTATATTTACTGCGCACAAAAAAGTGCGCTCGATTTTTGATTAATTCTTACAAATTTTTACCTCAATTGCAAAAACTGTAACATTGTAAAAAATTCCTCTCTCCTCTATCAAGTTCTCTCGTAGTTGACATCTGAACGAAGACAGGACAAAAACAATATACACCTCGGATCTATAGATCCGGGAGCATAATAAAATCAAAAACCGTCTTAGGAAAAAATGCTAATCTGAATTACCTTAATGATGACAGCATGTGCGGGTAGGTTGACTCCCCAGGCTAGAGTGGCCGTACACACCAGACATTTAATGTGTCCTGCCGCGAAATATCTCTCCACTAAGTTCCTGTCCTGCCTCAGCATGCCCGCATGGTGAATTCCAAAACCATCTGGGAACAGTTCCTTCAGCTGCTTGTTACGAGATTTCAGGGTCTGAAAAACAAAGTGTCATTTAGTTTCTGCTGAAAATAATCACCAAGTCTAAAGTAGCTGCAAGATTAGTACTTCCTTGTGCATAATTCCCTTTAAAAGATTTTATATTCACATATTATGAAAAAAATTTGCCTCATATATAAACTGAAAAGTCAAATGGTAACTTAATATTGCATTCCAAGTATTGACAGGATGTAGTCACCAATGATAAGCACACATACTGGATTGTTACTTTACAATTTTTCTCCTCGCGTTGTTTTTTGGAGATATTTAATTAACTGGAATCAATGGTTACAATGGCTATTTTTAACTCACTGATTTTTCGGCCTGCCCGTATTGAGCAGACTGCTCCGGAGAAAAGAACCCCATCTCTCCGTTGTTTTTGGCGATTTCTCGGAGGACCATGGCCGTCCTGACCGTGTCGTTCCGAGCGTGAACAAACACCATCACCTGGTAACCCTGCCTGACTTGTTCCAGGACCTTGTCGTAACAAACCGTGTTCATGTCCTGCAGAAACTGAACTTTACTGGTCGCCTTAATTCCTGCAAAACATATGGTAAAATCATATGAAATTAATCTTTTTTGTATTAAAGTGCATTTAATTTATAATTTTACATGTAACAATACTAAGAACATTATTTAAAATTCAAAACGTAAATTGTTAACGAAATCTACTGAGCATTAAGAGGAAACTCTACTCACTAAACATTGTTTTGGCAGAAGCCAGAACAAAAGAAGTTTTTTCCTTTACCTACAAATGTTTGTCCGAGAGGAACTGGTCTAAACCTTCCATCAAAGAAGTAGAGTCCTACATAAGGATTGACATGAAGGAATCGGGCCACATCAATGTAGTTAGGGAGGGTGGCAGATAAACCAATGATACGAATCATACTCTGGGAGCTCTCCACCTAGAAACATTTATCATAAACCTATCAGCATACAGTTTTAGCTGCAGGAAAAGAGAAATCTTTAATGGTTTATTTGCAGCTCACTGCAAATAGTGAAATACATGTAAATGCACAGTACTATGGGTAACAAGAGATGTTTGTAAAACACTTATGCCCCCCTCCCCCCCAACTGGATTTTTTCTAAGTCCAAAAGGGCACAACTCTGTCTAAAATAGTGCGATCCTACCCAAACAGAACTTGACCTAGATATTCAGCTGAAACATCTGTATACTTAATTTCATTTCAATATGTGCAACCATTGCAAAGGAAATGAACGGAAACTGCAAATAAGTGGAATTTTTCTAAGTCCAAGGGGCATAACTCTAACAAAAAGGGTGCGATCGTACCCAAAACAGAACTTGACCTAGATATTCAGCTGAAAAATCTGTGTACTAAATTTCATTTCAATATGTGCAACCTCTGCAAAGAAAATGAACGGAAACTGCATATAAGCGGAATTTTTCTAAGTTCAAGGGGAATAACTCTGTCAAAAATGGTTCGATCGTATCCAAAACAGAATTTGACCTAGATATTCAGCTGAAACATCTGTATACTTAATTTCATTTCAATATGTGCAACCATTGCAAAGAAAATGAACGGAAACTGCAAATAAGTTGAATTTTTCTAAGTCCAAGGGGCATAACTCTGTCAAAAATGGTGCAATCAAACCCAAAACAGAACTTGACCTAGATATTTACCTGATAAACCTGTATACCAAATTTCGTTTCAGTATGTGCAACGATTGTGAAGAAATGAATGGAAACTAAATGGACCGACAGACAGCAGCAAAGCAATATGCCCTCCCTTCTTCGAAGGGGGGGCATAATTATAAGTGATTTCTTTTTAGCCTAATTTTACTGTATTAAATCGTCTGTGGGTCCTTGTTTTATACCTGTCTGATGGTTCTGGCGACCAAACTCTCTATGACTGACCCTCGGTCATCGTGAAGCAGATGGACCTCGTCTATAATTAGTAACTTGACCAGCTGGGTCAGTGCCACGTCCCCAGTGCTCTTACGAGTCACCACGTCCCACTTCTCCGGTGTCGTCACCAACATCTACAATGGAATAAAAATTTTACTTTACTTTCAATCTAAGATTTACTTGAAAGAAAATTAAAAATTTTCTCTATTCAACCTCTGGTACTTGATGCGTTTATGTGAGAATTCAATAGCGATGAATACATTACGTAAGTCTTAACAGAATTTGAATCATAGCATTTCCTTTGTCTAAATTCAATTACAGATTTATTATCAAAGTCAGTGGTACCTGTGTTTTCATTATTTCAGACTTTGACAACTGCATGTCGCCCGTAAGTTCCTTTACAGCAATCCCTAGTGGTTCTAATCGACCCCCAAAGTTACGGACCATCTCCGCCGCCAATGCTTTCATAGGGGCCACATAAATTATCTACAATAACAGCAACTGTTTTGACTCCTACATTTTCTCATTCAAAATTTTGGAAGAAATTCTTCTTTTCAGTATAAAATTGTATTTTTTCTAAAATGTATGAAATTAATTGCATGTCCTGTACAGAACTAAATGTGTAAATAATGAAAATGTTGGTTTTATTAGATTGTCACTATTTTATTTTTCGGAGACTGACCTTGAACTCATCTTTTTTAATGACCCCCTGTGAGATGTGCTGTTTCATCTCGTGAAGTATTGTTAACATGGCAATATTAGTCTTCCCGGCACCAGTGGGGGCACAAATCAACAGGTTCTCATTTGTCTTGTAAGCAGCATCAAACACTACTGACTGGATTCGATTCAGGGCTTTGGTGTTCTTGAATGCTAGCTTAGCAACCTGAAACAAAAATCCTTTTTCTTTAAAACTGGTGCCTATATATCAGACTGATTTGAATATTACTTAACCCTATTTCTGCTTGTTTTCCACCTTTCATTTCTAGAATAGTAGTATTTTTATCAAATCTTAAACAGAATTAGTTATCATTCTTGCAATTTTTAATTTGATAGTAAGTATAAGGATAAAACATCAGACTAAAATGAACCTCAATTGATATAAGAGAATGACGCCTAATACATGACTTACATCATCTAGGTCAGCGATCTGTACCCTCTGGTTCCCTACATTCGTGGCCTGAGCTTCCGTGTGGGGGATCCTGACCTCCTCGGCCAACTTAGTACTCTTCCTGGTGAACGTGTCTGGTAAAACCATCTGATAATTGGAGAAAATAATTGTAACAATAGAGTATCCAATACAACACAAAATTACTAGTGTTGGCAACGAGTACCCGGTTAACCGTCGAATGATGCGAGTGTCGGTTAGTAAAACTGCTATTTGGTTACTCGGATAAAAATACATCATATAAAGTAAATAACAAAAGTTAATTTGCTTATGAGCGTATACATAAGCATTTCTCTAATTCTATTTACCGTTAGATTTAATGATCTAGTGTTTCACTAATACGATCGATTCATTTTGATTAGTTTTCACAGTTAATTGGTAGCTTCGATTGCCAGCAGGTTATACAAGATTTGAAGACCTGGGTTATAATTACATAATTAAATAGATTAACAAGATGCCGCCAAAGACATATATATCTTGAAAGTATTTACAAGAACAGCTTATTCGATACCTGTAACATGTAATTTATGTGAATTGGAGTTATTGTGTACGGTTGTGACTTCAAATTTCTAAATAATTATTCTGCTTGATCATATGACATAATATATGGGGAGTCGAAAACTAAAAGGTGATGAATGCCATTGTAGAATAGCGTGAAACATTGAATATTTTTTTATTCTTTTGATTGAATTAATTTTCTAATTATAAATACAGTATGAAAATTCTTTAAAGATAATGCATGCATGGGTACCTTTAAGCATTCACAATATAATTGTGTTTTATTTCTACCGATAAGAAAAGGATGAGATAAATGATAAATATGAATATGAATAAATCATCCGAGTAACCGGGTACTCGATCGAAAGATTGAGCGAGTAACCGGTTACTAAAAATCGTCCGATTTGCCAACACTAAAAATTACTCTTTATATATAAACCTTTACTAAGAACTTTCAGTAAAACAGGTTATAGGTAACTGCCAAGGGTGAACAACTGAGATTCATAATTGGAACTTGTTATATCCGATTAGTTCATTATACATTTATGTTAAAAAACTCATTGACTTAATCATGTTGCAGTAAACATGAATTAATCAAAAGCATACACCGATGCCCCTTATACACTGCTCGAAGGCGCACTTACTTTTAGGTTGCTAAATGGCGGCCTAAAACTTTTTTCAGTCACCATTTCAGAATTTATGGTCGCCATTAACAAATTTTTCACTCGCCATGACGAAAACATGTGAATAATAAAATTAAAACAATGAACTAACATCCACATGTGTTATGTTTTTATTAAATTAAAGATTATTAATTACTGTGACTAGAAATCTTTTGCTAGTTGAAGGATATATTTTTATTAAATACAACCACCCTTTGTATGGTACACAAAAGAACACATGTAATCTGATCCTAGAATTAAAGTTTAATCAAAAGAAAATAAAACTTTGACAGTTGTTGAGATAGGACTTTGCCAATTGTTTATCATGTTTACCTGTTTACTTACTACTACATATCTCACCCATAACACAGTCATTGTCAATGCCGCCAAAACACTTAATTAATTGTGATATGCAAGCCATTAATTGACTAATACTTTAATAACCAGGTCAGAGAAACTCTAGAAAGTTTACGACGTTTGGATGCCATTCTCTGTATATACTTTTCTCGTTCTATCAAACTTTACTATTACAGCATGCTGTCATAACATTACGTGATCCAAGTCCATATGACGCTTTGTAAAGTGTGTTAAAGTATATATCTTCAAACATTGTCTTGATGTAGAATCTTGAAAACGTAAATCTCAATCCCTATCATAAAAAGATGGACGTTGCCAGCCCAAATTTTCTCAGTCGCAAAAATGCGACTTAGTTTTAATTTCTAGTCGCAAAACAAATTTTAGTCGCAACTTGGAGCACTGTGCACTGTTACATTACACATAACATTGAAAATACTGAATACATGAACAGTAAATCTCACTTAGTACGAACACGGATATAGGGAAGTTATCTTGGATCCCCAGCTATATAAACATAACGAATTTCTTATACAGATATAACGAATTAGGGATATAGCGGTCCCAGTGACTTTGTTATAACAGAGTTTTACTGTATAAGTACTGATTGAGGACCAGTCTATGGTTACCTTGACTCCTCCAATAAAAGCTGAGGACTGCCTGGCCTCTTCCATGGAGTCGAATACATACGGATATTTCTCTCTGGGTGTGTAACCTCCCCTACCCCCACTGAACATTGGAGTGGGCGCCTTTAATGCTGCTTCTCTGTAATAAGACTTAGCGGATGCTTAATAAGCCAGATATCACAATTACATAAGCAGGTGCATTTCTTACATCAAAGGAGGTAGAAAAGTAAAGTTTCCAAGCATTTTTTCCCCTACCACTATGTGTTATTTGTAGTTCTATGCTCTATATATTACCGTAAATAAAAGTTCCACATGGACCTAATATTACCTACCATCAAACCACAAACTAAGTATTAGAAAATCTAATTTTTTAAATAAGATTTTCTTTCCACCTTTCAGGCACTATTATTTACATGTATTTCTTCAAACCTTTAAAAGGAAAACTTTTTTTCTTTGCTGTACCCCTACACACCTTTGGGAGGAAAACTTATTTTCTTTGCTGTACAGACCTTTGAGCCCTGAGTTGCTGAGGATTGAAGAGGAAGCCCACATCTTCCTCCTCCTCATCTCTCCTCCTCTCTCTCTTCTCCTCCTTCCTCATTATCTTCATCAGATGCTTCTCATCCTCTGTCTGTAAATAGGCAAACTTTAATGTGATTTTAGCCATAGCCTTATATAATAACCAAATGATTTTTTATATAAAGAATGTAATCTTATGAACTGTGGGATCTGCTTGCTTCAGATGTTTACAATAGAATAATCTTTACCTTCTCAATAATTTAAGTCAAATAACAGAAAGCATAACTGCTTATTTTCTTTGTAGTATCTACATTTAATACCAGGTAGTCATTATTATGTCAGGGGATGGGGAGTAGGGGTTGGGTCGTACCTGTACTGTTACTTGACAGGCATAATTAGGTCAGGTAATGGGGGGGGGGGAGGGGGTCTTACCTGTACTGTAACTTGACAACCATAGGTGGGCCGGGTAACAGGTGGCCTGTTTCCTCCATCAGCTTTGGCTCCTAAAGTTCAAATCATTATCACGTTTTAGACAAGTGTCAGAAGTTAAGACGGCATGCTAAATGTAGCTGACTAACTCCAATCATGCCAAAGACAGCCAAAAATAATTTACAGCTCTAAAAGTATCCAAAGCTAAGCAGCCTCTTAGTGTAACTTTTCAAATCCCTAATTCTCTCCCCTTTCCTCAGAATCCAGGCTTTATTTGTATCTTTTTTTCATTTTTCCAATCTAAACTTCCATTAAGATACATGTATGACCATACAGTTACTTACATAGAAATATATTAGGATATTTTAATTTTGGCTACACTCTGTTTACTGTTTAGTTGTTGAGAAGAACTATTTATACCTACGTGTTTGTTTACTGCTCTCTGGGCGAGTTAAAGCTCCCTCTATAATTTTTCCTTTGTTTTGAATCAAACTTTGAATGAGTTCAAATCTGTCAAAGCCCAGAAGCTCAAAGAGCTGCAAAAAAAAAATGCTCTTTGAAAAATTATTTCTCTCAACACTGTTATTAAAAGTGACATACAACAGTAAAATAAAGCTTTCCTTATTCCTCTGCCCCAAGCGTTCACTGAAAGTGAGGGATATTAATTTGGATCTGTCTGTTTGGAAGATATTTCATAAAGTCTTCTTTTTGCACAAGAAATCATTTCCTTTACAGATTTCATATGTTAATTTTGAATCTTTCTAAGCTTTTGCAATGAAATTTAAGGTCTTGATTTAACTTGAGAAAGACCTGTACTTGACTTTAAGGCTAAATGCTGAAAAGTAAAGGTCAATCAAAAGTAAAGGTCAGTCTTTTTTTCTCTCTCACCATCTGCATTTTTAGGTCTTTCAGCCATCTTCTTCAAGCCTTCTTCCATAGGAGGGGGAGCATAAATTCTCTGGCTTAGGTTGATTCTCTCTGAATTTACTTTAATATACTTACATTATTTTGTAGTTCTTCGTCTGAGTTGGATGCTGTTAGAACATCAAATATGGTGGAGCATAAGTCCTCTCTACTCATACCCAGATAATTCTCCTCACCAGGAAAATATTTGATTACTTCCCTTTGAAGCCATGAGGCATCATATCTACAACAAAATTTTGATATTATGTAAATTTACTCCTGGTGAAACCAAAAATAACAATTAAAATATACTTCTATTCACTTGTAATGAAATATATTTCAACATGCCCAGAAGTTTTAACTTTAAAAACTGAAAATGCAAGTTTAACACATTTCTCCCCTTACTATACATTGTCAGAAACACAGGTTATATGTTCTCTTTCAATGATAGCAACCCATGGCTAACACCTGCATTTGTATGTAAACTTTAACATTTTATTTTAACAAATATTCTGTTTTAATCGCTTTTGAGCATAGGACACTTTTTAAATTACATTAAGTTAAATCCATTCATATAACATCATATGTTCTAATATGTTACTAAGAATGTTAGTTACCTTTCCTTGTCAGGTGATTCCCTCTTGGCAGCGATCGGCTTATGGGGGGAAGCTACGTATTTCAGGTCCAGCTCTCTCCTCTCACCTTCATCAGAATCAGAACTAAAGTCCTCGTCCTCAAAATAAGACTCTGGACTTTGACCTACGAACTTGATGTTCATCCCAAACTCCTTGACACTAGCTTCTCCATCAGCTTCTTGTCGGTCTTGGTTACCAAGGGAATCTAGTGTATTTTCTGGTAGCCATGACACTATCTTGTTGACCAATGAACATGCATTGCTCGCTGCTGAGGCTGGAAATGGTCCAAAGATCTGTCGAAGTTTTGTCGTCTCTTTTTTCCCAACAATATTAGCTGACTTCAGAAGTTCAAACAGGAATGCTGCTGAACTCTCCATTGTCTCTAAATCTGCTTCTGATCCCACTGAAAAACACAAAAATAATTCTTAAGAACAGATCCTTTAATATGTTACATATTACAGTAACTTGGCAAAGAAAAGAGCTTTGAATTTTCATTGATATCCTTAAATGCCTCAATATATTGGTTATTTCTTATTGAATCTAAAAAATAATTTACAGAAAAAATTAAAACATTGAAAGACAAATTGACAGAGAAGTTTTTTCAATAGTATATGTTTCAAATTCTTATCCTTTGCTGTTTTCAGCTCTATAATATATCAAAATACCAGTACCACACCTATTGATTTGGTGTACTGAGTCAGTTCTTTGAGAGCAGCTTTCACTTCCTCTTTTGACACATCAGCTTCTTTGTTTATGACCTCCGTCAGTCTCTGCCAGCTGACCGTGTCTGTCCGTTTCTTTGCCGCCAGCTGCCGCTTACGGACCAACTCTTGATGCTCATCAGTGAGTGATATTCCTGTGTCTCTGCTAACATTGGCAAACGCTCGTAAAGCTCCCGTCAGTCGCGGTAATGACGCCATTGCTTTCAGGTTAACTGGCTGTAAAATTTGTACTCTATATTAAAATGTAGTTTTATTCTGAAATTAAATGATATTCAATGAATATACAGTCAATTCTCGAATTATCGCCATTCGATTCATCGCCATTTTCGCAATACCGCCATGATTTCCCAAGAACGTTTTTCCTGCTATATAAAATTCTCTTTATAACGCCAAATTCGCATACCCCCATCCGCCACCCTGTTTTCACAACAAACGTCCATTTTTAAGTGTCAATTTTCTCGATATACCGCCACAGGTGCATGTGGTCAGTGAAGCGCGGCTAATTGGTTGACGCTTTCCCTGTTGTAAAGTATGCAAACGCAGCGAGGTACATGCAATTAAATAATTAAATAAGATTTAAATAAAGAATAATTTTAACATGAACTGTTATAATAATTTTGTATTCTGTTTAATAAAAATCATTTAGTCACGGCTTCGCCACTGTGACGAAAGCCGTCGTTGTTAAAGTACACCGATAACGATATTATTTTGATGATCTCTGCTTTAAACTTAAAACAAAAAAAATAATTGTACGGTTTAAATTGTGAACGTTTCATTAACAATGATGCCATAAACAATGAATTTATTCAAGAATTCATTTTACCTACTATCGGCAATATATCACGATGATCTACCCAACACGTTTTTATTTTTCAATATCAGACGCGCAGACTTACATGCAAACATATGTACTTGTCTTTATTTCATAATTACACATTTTGTTTTAGCAAAATTGTACATAATTAAAGAAGTATTTTCAAATTTAGAAATATGTTTTTATATGCATGCACATGTAATAATAAGAATAGAAACGCTAAATGGTATTTCTAAGAACGCTAACTCTACTTCTTGTTTCCTAAAAGATGGTAAATTCAATTCATCGCCAAATTCGTTATACCGCCATAATTTCTAAAGTACAAAAGGTGGCGGTTTATCGAGAATTAACTGTATTCAAATTATATAAACAACAATGGTCAGTAAATGAGCAATAGATCGACACTCTCCTGACAATAATTACATATGTCAGGATGATATAGCACTGTTTCCTATCTCTGGCGAAACATTCATGGAAGAGAACCACATCAGTATGGTTGAGAGGCTGGAGCCCAAGTATTTACAGACATTCATTTTTAGTCTATAAATTTTGGTAACTTTAGCCTGGAAATCGGTGAATTGATTGGAAGCACACTGAACTCCATTGAAGAATAACATGGATTGTAACAGAAAATTTTTTTAAAAATCATCTCGCATCTGCGTGCTTTCACTTTTGTTTCTAGTATTATAAATCCTTAACTCGAGTCTATCAGACAGACATTCTCAATGTTTGAGTCGTTTATCAATGCTGTTGTAGTCAGTGACGGTCTTACCGTGTTTTTGATTCTTGTTATAATCTTTTATCCAGTACCAAAACTACTGGAAAGTGTTATTATTTCACCATTTTACATCAATATTCACGTGTGCACAAAGTAACCATCTTGCACAATCAGCAACTGCAGAAAACCGGAAGAAGGTCTAATCAAACTAGGCCTGGTAAACGCTTTACAAAATTTAAATACAATATTTTTTCTCACTATGACATCGAAGTCTCTGTGGCGCAATCGGTTAGCGCGTTCGGCTGTTAACCGAAAGGTTGGTGGTTCGAGCCCACCCAGGGACGCTCAATTTTTTTTTCTGTTTTTTTTTTTTTTTTTTCTAATTGTTAGCAATTAATAATTCAATTTAAAGGTACTTGGACACAGATTTGAAGTCAATATTTTCTCTATAATATTACCACTTATATATTTTAATAGCATTTCACACAAAAATTAATTAAAAATCTTTTTTCATTTAAAAGTTATTTTATAAAAACTTCAAATTTTTTGGCGGGTTTGATTGACTCATCCTTGCACTTTCACAAATTTTAACCTTATTCTTAATCCTTAGGAAAAGTGGCAATCTTGTTGTGTATTAATGAGAAATATTAAAACTTTTATCCAGAAAAATAATTTTATTCAGAGTAGAAATGTTAGAAAGCAAAATTCCTTCACAAGTATCGTCATTCCGAACTAAGAGTTGCGTACAGAGTTTAGCAAATCGAGCACACTCGTGTTATGTACAAAGTTTTTGTAAACAGGGCACGAGTTCTGTTATTGTTGATGTTTAGAATTCAACGGGTGCGTTCAGCCGTCACAGTCTGCTTACCACAACTGCATGGACTGCCAATACATTGTGTGTTTGTTTTGCTTTCGAACATGCCTACTCTAAATTTTCTGCATTATAGTATTAATATTTTTCATTTATACATAACGAGATTGCCACTTTTCCCTAAGGATTAAGAACAAGAGGCCCATGGGCCACATCGCTCACCTGAGAAGCTTTGACCATTCTGTTCATTACCAGATTTCCCCCTTGTTATACATAATGCATCCCCACCCTACCCCTATGATTATAATTTAGACATTTTGAAATCTACAATACCCCATGATCCTTCCATGGGCACATATGTTTCAGCTTTTCTGGCCCAGTGGTTCTTGAGAAGAAGATTTTCAAAGATTTTTCCTATATATTTCTATGTAAAACTTTGATTCCCCATTGTGGCCCCGCCCTTCCCCCCGGGGGTCAGGATTTGAACAATTTACAATCTACACTACACCAGGATGCTTCCACATAAGTTTCAGCTTTTCTGGCCCAGCGATTCTTGAGAAGAAGATTTTCAAAGATTTTTCCTATATATTTCTATGTAAAACTTTGATTCCCCATTGTGGCCCCGCCCTTCCCCCGGGGGTCAGGATTTGAACAATTTACAATCTACACTACACCAGGATGCTTCCACATAAGCTTCCCTTTTTCTGGCCCAGTGGTTCTTGAGAAGAAGATTTTTAAAGATTTTTCCTATATATTTCTATATAAAACTTTGATTCCCCATTGTGGCCCCGCCCTTCCCCCGGGGGTCATTATTTGAACAATTTAGAATCTACATTATACCAGAATGCTTCCACATAAGTTTCAGCTTTTCTGGCCCAGCGATTCTTGAGAAGAAGATTTTCAAAGATTTTTCCTATATATTTATATAAAACTTTGATTCCCCATTGTGGCCCCGCCCTTCCCCCGGGGGTCATGATTTGAACAATTTAGAATCTACATTATACCAGGATGCTTCCACATAAGTTTCAGCTTTTCTGGCCCAGTGATTCTTGAGAAGAAGATTTTCAAAGATTTTTCCTATATATTTCTATATAAAACTTTGATTCCCCATTGTGGCCCCGCCCTTCCCCCGGGGGTCATTATTTGAACAATTTAGAATCTACATTATACCAGGATGCTTCCACATAAGTTTCAGCTTTTCTGGCCCAGTGGTTCTTGAGAAGAAGATTTTCAAAGATTTTTCCTATATATTTCTATATAAAACTTTGATTCCCCATTGTGGCCCCGCCCTTCCCCCGGAGGTCATTATTTGAACAATTTAGAATCTACACTACACCAGGATGCTTCCACATAAGTTTCAGCTTTTCTGGCCCAGTGATTCTTGAGAAGAAGATTTTTAAAGATTTTTCCTATATATTTCTATATAAAACTTTGATTCCCCATTGTGGCCCCGCCCTTCCCCCGGGGGTCATTATTTGAACAATTTAGAATCTACATTATACCAGGATGCTTCCACATAAGTTTCAGCTTTTCTGGCCCAGTGGTTCTTGAGAAGAAGATTTTCAAAGATTTTTCCTATATATTTCTATATAAAACTTTGATTCCCATTGTGGCCCCGCCCTTCCCCCGGGGGTCATGATGTGAACAATATAGAATCTACACTATACCAGGATGCTTCCACATAAGTTTCAGCTTTTCTGGCCAAGTAGTTCTTGAGAAGAAGATTTTCAAAGATTTTTCCTATATATTTCTATGTAAAACTTTGATTCCCCATTGTGGCCCCGCCCTTCCCCCGGGGGTCATGATTTGAACAATTTAGAATCTACACTACCCCAGTATGCTTCCACATAAGTTTCAGCTTTACTGGCCCAGTGGTTCTTGAGAAGAAGATTTTTTAATGACCCCACCCTATTTTCGTATTTTCTTGATTATCTCCCCTTGCAAGGAGTCTTGGCCCTTGATTTTAACAATTTAAATACCCCTTTACCCAAGGATGCTTTGTACCAAGTTTGGTTAAAATTGGCCCAGTGGTTCTTGGGAAGAAGTTAAAAATGTGAAAAGTTTACAGACGGACGGACGGACGGACGGACGACGGACGCCGGGTGATCAGAAAAGCTCACTTGAGCTTTCAGCTCAGGTGAGCTAATAAAATTAATTTGTGAAAGTGCAAGGATGTGTCAATCAAACCCGCCAAAAATTTGAAATTTTAATATCATTCATATGAAATAAGATTTTTAATTAATGTTTGTGTGAAATGCTATTAAAATATATAAGTCGTAATATTATCAAGAAAATAATAACTTCAAATCTGTGTCCAAGTACCTTTAATTCATTTCGTTTATTGACCAACTAAGGGCCCTCATGGGGCAAAAAGAAAGTTCATTGTTAAAAATGATAAATCAGCCTAAATATTCTTTATGTATTTTCCAGAATTGATATCATACCAGTTTTACATATACTTGAAAGAAGTCAGTTCACTTTATGCATAAAATGGCCCTGTAGAAATACCAATAAATTGATCAACACTTGATTTTCTATTTGAAGCATAAAAATAAAGTAGAGACTTGGTGCTTTCATATCCTATTAAAAAAATTCTTCTAAAAGTCCAGGTCTAGGAGAACTGGCTTTATGAAATTGCAATGTTCTTGAATTTTTAGGTAAACAGGTATAATTGAGTACTTTCAGTGAAGAAAAATATGAGCGCACTCTCTGATCTAAAAAATAAAACATGTCCATTAATCCTCAAAAACAGTTCTATCATTTACTAGCTGTATATTTTAGATCAGAGGTTGCGCTCTATATCAAATATCAAAAAATAGCCTTATATTGGCCGTTTTTGTTGACTTTTTCAGAATATGAGGAAATTGACGCATTGCGTGACGTCATAATGCATTGACTGGCCAGAAAATGACATCATTTTTGATAGGCAGGCAGTCACCAAAGATCTAAGTGATATTTAATGCATTGTTAACTAAAACTATACAGTGTCAGTTTTTCAGAAATTAACAGGACCAAATAAAGCAAAAGTGAACCTTGTTCTTTGTTTTACAACATTCCGATTAATAGAACTCTATAAAAAATTGATCAATAAACTGCAGAACTGTAGCTATCCAAAAATATATATTGACAGATCGGAGAGCTAAAGTGCCACCGATTTGAAAAAAAAAGTATGATACAGTGGACCTTCAGATATCTGGACGCCAGAAATCTGGATGCTTCAGCATCCAGATGACTTTTCATCGGAACAGATTTTTTAAAAGTTATTTTGTCTTGTTTAACTGGTAATTCAGATATCCGGACACTTCACATATCCAGACAAATTGACTAGGAACCAAAGTGTCCGGATAAATGAGGCTCCACTGTACAGTTGTATTTTTTGCGCACAAAAAAGCAAGCTGTTTCTGGATTTATTTCTGTATGTTTTTAAACTTTCATCTCAAAATATTACTAACCATGTGTTCCTAACATATTCTTTCACTGTTTCCAAAATAAAACATTCCTTTCAATTGTTGTAAATAGCCCTCCTGGCCCTGAAATTGAGGTCCTTGAAAATGTTGTCCATTTATACTGCCATTTTGGTTTGCAAGATAATTCGGTCCAATGCACTTTTTGGAGATGTCAACTGCGAAAGTACTTCACAGAGGAGTTCGGAATTTTTTTTAAATCTATCTTTTTCATGATTGTGGTAAGGATTTGGAATAATTAATCCCGAACTTAGGGCAACTTTTTGTGTGCAACAATTATACAGTTTTTACAATGGGTGGCACTGTAGCTGTCTGGTCTGTCAATATATTTTTTTCAGAGAGCTAAGTTCTGCAGCTATAAACTGTATAAAAAAGTGTGAGCGTAATATTAATTTTGATATATACCAGAAAATATAGTAGACCTTCTAAAATCTCTTCGCAGAAGA